TTTTAAGTGTTAAAGTGACTTGCAAAAAAAATAATTCTACAGTCTTTTATGTATAATTTTTTCTACTCTCATAAAGAAAAATGCACTTCTATCCCTTTTGGGAAGACTTGTTATCTATTTATTCCAATAGGTAAAACCTTCATCAGGGACAAATAAAATTTTTAACTGATCCATTTCACATGATACATATATAAATACAGTGCTCCATACCTAATTTATTCTTATTTTCAAAATAGCATTAATTTTAATCATTCATATGAATAGAAATACAGATCAAAAGAGAAAGTTAATTACTAACACAAAAATTTAGTTCACTTTAAAAATTACGATAGTTAACAATAATTTAAATAGCTTACTATTAACAGACACTTTCCAAAGTTGCAGGAAATCTGTTTTTAATGTGTTTTCTTTCTCATGCTATTGTGTGTTCCATCTAAGTGAGGGGCTACCTGGACTAATTTCAAATATTCTTATATTACATGTCACTCTAAGGAAATCTTTTTTCAGATAAGTTATAAAGAACATGTATTTCTTAATGGCAGGCATTTTATCATCTGCAATCATTTAAATTATAGGTGTAGGATCCTGTTTTATATGGCACCCTGCTACCGCAGAACTTTTCTTTAAGCTATTTGAGTTAGCAGCTTCTGCCAAACAAAACAGTAGGGGGGAAACTGTAAAAAAAAGCTTTAAAATGCTAAAAAAAGGAAATAAGTGAACAAGCAGCAATCTAAACATAAACTGGAGAACTATTCCCATGACCTACGTTCGATACAGAATCGGCTCGAGGGAAATATAGAACTCACAGACTACCAAGAGGAGCCACAGACATGGTCTTTAGAAGCAGAAATCACTTTAGATAACATATAAGGAGTTGCTATACCAAAATTTATTATATATCAAACTCAGACGTTATTTTAAAGGTCTCCCCTACATGATGTTCTTCTAAAATAAGAATGGAAGAATTTAAAAAGAAAAGTTTTCAAATGTAAGGTCAGAGAAATCTAGGGCAGCCACACAATGATGGCCAAAGTACAAAAAAAAAATGGGTTCTCCTTAAGGCTGCCTTTAGAGAAACAATCTATGTGTAGTGTAATGTAAGGCAAGGCTAGTGTGACTGTGAAAGATGAAATCTGTGATATTTGTTTTTGATTCAGGCATACTGCTCTTTTGTGGCTATATGATTTATTTAAATCACTTTTTTCTTTTTTTTTCTTTTTTTTTTTTGTTTTTTTTTTTTTGTTTTTCGAGGCAGGGATTCTCTGTAGCTTTGCGCCTTTCCTGGGACTCACTTGGTAGCCCAGGCTGGCCTCGAACTCGCAGAGATCCGCCTGCCTCTGTCTCCCGAGTGCTGGGATTAAAGGCATGCGCCACCACCGCCCGGCTCACTTTTTTCTTTAGATGCATGTAACCAGATGAGGCTTAAAATAAACACACATATTAGTAGAGTCATGGTGGAGAATATTATTGAACACTAGTCAGAAGGTAGGCCCTGTGATCATGCACACACAAGGACCATTGATATGACTGATTCTCTGTGGCTACCCACAACCATCCTGTACTGCAGGCATCTGTGCTAGGATTTCTAATGTTCAGAGAGGTAAAGTCACTTATTCAAATACATGGCACACCCTGTATAAGGGCACAATTCTAGAACTCTCTCTCTCCTCAACATAGATATCCTTGGGAGGCATGTGAGATATTTCAGTCACTTATTTAATATTACTTTGAGTTTAAAATGGGCCCATTAATTTTCAATGGGCTAATCCCAATTCAAAGGACCAAACAAAGAATAAAATCTATCACTTTATATTCCCATCATGTGTATTTATTTAACAAGGCCAGGAAGCACGATCCAGTTCCTACTTATAGGAAAACTGTATTTCTTTTTCTTTTGTCCATATTTTCTTGTCATTAGCTAAAAGAGAGTAAGTGTGGCCTTTTAGAAATTGTTCTAGCTTTACTCTTTCAGATGTCTGTGAGCATTATAGGTGGATCTAAAAGACAGTCTGTCAATTTCCATTATCATATAATAGTAGTAAAATGAAGCTATGACCATTATCATATGAGAAGAATATTTGTATGCAACTTTTTTAAATCACTGGGAAATTAAAGAATCTTGAATATAACAAGATTTAGTATCTGAAATGAAATTTTAGTTAGAATTTATTCTTAATATTAGCAAGACCTAAAACAAATTTTATAACTATGCCAGTGTGTCCTATCTCTTTCTAGCCATAATCAAATATGTGAAAGAGCATGGAATGAGCCACAAACAGATCAACTTCAATTCTTAAAGATGATGAAAATTTCTTGCACCCCCTTAAAATCAATGACAGCTAGTGAAATATAGTTGTTTCTCAAAATAATCAAGGAAGTGTATTTATATCAAGTAATGTGTTTTCCTAAGGAAGGTGGCTGTATACTTAATTATATAATGACAGACTTATAGATAAAAGACAGGGCCAGTTGCCTACACAGATAATTGAAGGTAAGTTACAGTTCTTTCAAGCTGACTGATTCACAGTAAATTACTGTGTATCAATCCACTTACTATGGCCCAAGCACTGAGGATGATGAACTGAAGAGACACAGACATTATTTTCAAGACACGGTATGAATAGCAAATTATCAGCAATTTATAAATATATAAAGAGTTTATGATTATAAGCTGCAATAGTGAAATGAAGAAAATCACTATCTGATAAGAAATGAGAGTAACTCAGTAAAGAGTGAGTTATTACTGATTGCAGGGTGTTTTCTTTTACATCAAATGCATTGCAACTGAAAGGATTCGTTGTTTTCGCTGTTTTACATCATCCTGTTAGAACTGCAAAAAAAATACAGAAATTGAGAGGTAAGTAAGCAGACGTATGTGTAAAGTGCCTTGTATAAAGGTACCCATGTCTAAAAGCCAGGAAAATAAGAACATGAATCAGTTCAGATTAGCAAGAGTTTCAGCAAAGTGAATTGCATTAAAGGAGCTCATAGTGGAAAGGAAAACTGGGGTCACATATACAAAGACTTGAATGTGTATTTTCCAAGCATTTTTAATGGAAAGGGAACTTTTAAAGAGTTAGAATGTGTTTGTTAGAGCTAATATTCCTAGAAGCCTATTTTGGTCACTATAAGTAAGATGTATAAGGAAGGAAGAAACAACACTTATTTATTCCATGTGAGGGAATATAATATCCTGTGGTTTTGTGGTTTGCTAATATGTCTGTGGAATTGAAAAGGAAAATAAATATAGAATATAATAGAAATTAACTTCTTACACATTTATTTGTATGTGGGTTTATGTGTGTGTCTGTGTGTGTGTGTGTGTGTGTGTGTGTGTGTGTGTGTGTGCGTGTGTGTGCGCACATATGTATACACATGTAGGTGTGGGTATGCTATAATGTGCAGGAGTTAGTTCTCTCCTTTAACAGTGTGGGTTCTGGGGATTGAACTCAGGTTCTTAGGCTTGATGCAAAGTCCGCTTACACACTTAGCCATCTTACCAGCCCCAGAGACATTTTAGGAGCTTTTCTTTTGTTTTTATTTTTTGTTTTACTATGAATATTTGTACCATCTCCCTCCCAATTTCCTTGTATTAGTACTAACATAATCATATTTGGAATGGAGCCCTCTAAACAGTATCTACATCATCGTGACAGAGCCCCAACAATGGGATAATGCTCTTGTAAGAGAAGACAGGGAATAATTTTCTTCCTACTCGTCTGTCTGCTATATAAAGATATAATGTAAGGATGAAGATGTGAAAACTAGAAGGCAAGATTTCACAGACAATAGAACTGTTAGCATCCTGATCTCGGGTTTCTCAGACTCTAGAATAGATGTCTGGCATCTGAACCACCTTTGCATTCCTTTACTGTAGCCATAACTAAACAAGACAGTAACTGAGTAGGTATAAAAAGCAACTCCTTGGAGAATCAAGCACAAGATTCCGAGGGGAAAATCTTATTATGTATAAAGTAATGTGTGGTAGTAGTGAGCGTAGGTTTGAACACGATGAGTTTGAGATGTCCATTTTCCATCCAATTGAAGTGTATCAGAAAACTCAGTCTTTTCTTCCTCAATGAAGCAACTGCAGGAATCAGAAGCACAGGAAGGGGAGAGAGCGTAGGCGGGGAAAAAACATGAAAAGCAGAGTGTCAAGGGGATCAAATCAAACTTTAGCAGGCATGAAGAAGTATCACAGATAAAGGAAATAGAATGATATGAAATCAGCTGAATAAAGAAAACAGAGAATAATGGAGACTGTGGGAATGAGATCAAAAGAAATCAATGCAATGAAGTCCGGGGGGGAAAGCTGGGGATCAGGGTGTTGTAATGACCCTGGGTTAGGAAGGATGAGACCACATTGGCTGCTAATTACTAATGACGCCTCAAAAACTCTAATCAAGTCTCAGGATTGGTAAGTTTTGTTAAATGTCTGAAATTCTGGATAGAGCTATAGCATCTTTTCATTTTAATGAGATTGTAAATGACTTAGCTCTTCTTTTGTGTGTCTCCCACTTTACATGTCAGCAAATATGAGTGATAAAAGAAGCAAAACTTATCTTTATACCATTCGTCTCTTCATATGAAGTTCTATCACACTTGAAGACACTCAGATTAGTTGAAATGACAGTCATAAATAGTGAATCCAAGGCAGGCCCCAAAGTTGACATTTAAGAGCTTTAACCTATATTTGTTCTTTTGGATCATCTGTTTTACATAGTGTTAGCATATGGTTGCAGGTTATTTTTTAAATAGCTTAATATTATATTAATTCTTAGAGAACTTGAAGATTCAATTCATATATCAAAGGTTTTCCAAATCCTGTTAGAAATAAACTAATAATTTATAATATATGGAAATTATTGTATCAATTACATTTGGTTTTGAACACACACACATATATATATACATATATATACACACACACATATATATAATATATCACAGTGCCCACTAAACTTAAACATGTTAAATTATATAATTACAAATTTGAATACCTGTGGTACCCATTTGGAGGACACAAAACTGGTTACTTCTATTACAGACAAGCCAGTTTGGGAAAGTTGATTGATGAATTCAATTTTTATATCTGTAGGAACTATAACCTAAAAAAATCATAAAATATATTGTATAAGTGAATTGTATAAGACCTATTGACCCATAAAATATTACTTCCTAATTAAAAGCAAATACAATGTGATTTAAACATTCAAATAGCAACTACACACAAATATTGTATAAAGTATAAAACCTTCATTCCATTAAAATTTTAAGGAATTCACCATGGAAAGCTAATATAAACCTACCTTTTCATTCTGCAGTCCATCTCTAGGTCCAACTTCTACTATCTTCACATATTCAGGGAGTCCAGATAACTGGGAGACCTCCTGAAATGCAAGGCATGAGTATAAGAAAAAGAGACTACTTGGATTGTCACTCTGTTTGTAGTGGTTGGAATGAGAATGTCTCTCATAGGCTTGGATATTGAAACACATGGTCCTCAGTTGGTGGCACTGTTTTGGGAGGTTTAGGAGATGTAACCTTGCTGGAAGAAGTTGTTACTAATGGCTGGCTTTGGGGATTCAGAGTCTCGCTCTACATCCAGCTCTCTCTTTGTCTCAGGTCCTGGCCCCATTCCTGCTGCTTGCTGTTGTGCATCATGATGGAATATTAACCATCTCAAAGCTGCAGTATACCTAGGTTTTGGTGTTTTACTGCAGCAATAGAAAAGGTAACTAATACAGTAGTTGGTAGCAGAGAGTGGGTCACTGCTGTGAAGAATCTGACCATCGATTTTGTTGCTGTGTTTGAGGAATGTGTAAGACTTTGGGACTTGGGACTAGAAAAGTGGTTAAATGTTGAATGTAGCGATTAAAGCACTCTTCTAGTAGGAGTCTAAAAGACAGTGCTGAGCGCAGAACAAATTATAGAGGTCCGCCTCAAGAGGTTTCAGAGGGAAGCAAAGCCTTTTACCAGCAACTGGGCTAGAGGCCATTTGTGCGATATTTTGGCAAAGAATCTGGCTGCCTTGTGCCTGTGTACTAAGAATTTAACTGAGGCTAAATTAAAAAGTAATGGGCTAACCTTTTGTCAGAGGGAATTTCAAGACACTATAACATTGAATCCACACCACGACTGATACTGATCATGTTTATGCAGGTCTGCAATGAAATAAGAACCAATGGACAGAAAGAAATACAAAATGTACAGTTTGGAGAGAGAAAAAGAGTACTGGGAAGCTTAATGTTACAGCCAAGGTATGTGCTGGAAAAGAGGCTGTGATTGTGAAGGGGATTAGACTGTGAGAGAGACTTCCCACTCTGCACCAGAGTAAAGGGGAGGGTGCCTTTAGGGGAAGACCTCCCCCAGCTAAGCCTCCAACTAGTATAAGAACTTTCTGAAAGCATCTGAATAAAAAGTGCTGCTGCTAATGTGATTCAGGGGGCCAGGGTCCATCCCAAGCAGGCAGCCTAACTTGGCAGTGTTGTCCACATGGTTTTGGCTTTAGAGACATAAAGGATGAAAAAATGAAGAAGTCTTGGATTCTTCCTCTGTGGTTTCAGAGACCCACTGAGGACAGGCAGTACATGGCAGGGGAGTCCCTTCATGGAGGTCTTTCGAGAGCCATATGCTTGGAGAGGCTACTGCATGAAGTTGTGAAAGTAAAGCCTGAGTTGCAATGAAGACCCCAAAACGTTGGAGATTTCAGAGCCATGACATATCTGCCAAGAACAATTGCAAACAGGGAGTGGAACTATCCCAAGTGAGATGTATGTTGCAGGCATCCAAACCTGAGGAGCAAGACCATCCAAGCCATTAGACACCAGACTTGAAGCTACAAGACTTGCTAGGTTTTGGTCTTTCTTTGATCCAGTATTTTCTAACTATGACCCCATTCTTCCATTGTGTCATCATATGTTTGAAGTATGTGATATGCTTTTTAATATAACTGGGGATTATAATTAAGACATTGCCTTGAGCCTCAGAAGAAACTTTGGATTCTTCAACAGTGTTATACTATATGGAGACTTTTGGCATTGGACTAAATACACTTGAATTATGATACAGTCATGGGCCCATGGTGGTCAGGGAGTAAAACGTCATGGTTTAAATGAGAATTTTCCCCACCGGCTTGGGTATTTGAACACTTGATCCCAGTTGGTGGTGATGTTTAAGAAAGTTTAGGAGATGTGACCTTGCTGGAGAAAGTAGGTCACTGAGGACAGGTTTTGTCCAGGTTGCTCTCTTTGTTTCCTGCTTGTCATTGAGGATATGAGCCCTCAGCTTCCTGTTCCTGCCTCTCTGATGCTTCTTGCTGCTAGATTTTCCACCATGATGGACTCTTCCTCCACTGGAACTGTAAACCTGAAGAAACTCTTCCTTCTATTAGTTTCCTTGACCATGAAGTTTTCTCACAGCAACAGAAGAGTAACTAATACACTAGTTTATTTCTGAAGTTAATTAATTACACTCTGTTAAATAAATTCTCACTCCACAAAGTTAAAACAATAAGAAATCAATAGGTTATAATCCTGATATATCACTTACACTATTTGCAACATTGAAATAATCATTTATTATAACTTCATGATAGGTATTATGATTGAAATTCCAAAAGTCAATTTCTTTTAAATAACTCAATTCCATTATTAAAAATAATTTTAAAAATCATTGTAAATTATTCATCTTATAGACATTAACATCCACAATAAAGAATTCAAAATAATCCAGAGTGTCTGGAGGAAAAGGATAAAAACGTTAAACACCAAAAGAGCAAGTAAATTAGTCAATATGTGGCAAAAGAACTTAACACTTCTCAAAGTCAGAAGCATAAATGTTCAATAATATAAGAAAAAAACTGCCCAACAATCGTAGCAACCTTAACCACAAGGAAAAGTCTAATTAAAACAATACTTCAGTTCCACCTTACCCGAGTCAGAATGGCTGTCAAGATAAAAGCAAGTTTGGGCATGGATGCAGGAATATAAGAAACATTTATGTACTATTTGGTGGAATGTAAGTTAGTCCAGACACTATGGAAAAAATATAGTGGTTTACTAAAAGGCTAAACATATAACTACCATATGGTCTGGCTAAACCACTCCTGAATACATACTCAAACAAATCAGTGCCAGCTCACAATATAAATACCTACATAGCCATGCATATTGTGGCTGGCACTATTTAGAAGACCCAAGTCAGAAAAATCAGTCTAGGTGATTGATGCATGGAAATAGAAAATGTGATCCGTGTATTTTATCCATCCATAAAGAAAAACATGCTATTTTCAGGAAAATACATGGAAATGTCTGTCATCATGCTATGCCAAATAAGCTAGTTTCACAAAGATAAATATCATTCTTCCTGTGAATTTACTGGTGGAGGGGATAAAAATGGTGACACTATGAGAGATATAGAAGAAGAAGAGAAGGAGGGATAAAAAGAATAATGAATATATGAAGAGACTCCAATCCAAACACACTATATATATACATATAGAAATGTTATAACAAACCCATTACATTGTACAGTTAGTATGCATTACTTTAAGAATAGATTTTTTTTTGTAATAACAGACTTCTGCCACAAAGGGTCAAGCAAGAAGCCACTACTATCCCCTGAATTTGAATGTGGATCTAGCATCTTGACTTGTACATAGATCACTGAGGCTAAAGAGGGAAGAAAGAGGGCTCTTTGCTTCTTTTCCTCCTCATACATCACAGTTCCCAACAAATGCTGCTTACTGGTATTCACTCTCCAGATAGGACCCACAGCTCCTAACTGCCTAGCCTACCCTACTCTTTCTCTGTAGCTGAGACAGAGAATGATTTGGATTCTGCAATCTCCGGTCCTACAGACTTAGTTTAGAAGATGTATTAGATGTATTAACTATCATATAAGACAATAATTAATAAGATGTATTAATAAGCATATTGGAAGATATAAATATGATTAATTAAAAAGTTAAAATTAAATAAGAAAAATTAGGCTTTATAAATTTCATAGAAGGTTTAAATGAGATATAAGCTACATCTTTCAAACAATATAAACATCATAACTTGGTATTTCTGAGCTGAGTGTGGATAACTCATCATGTCTTCAAATGAGTAGATAAACTCAACTTAGACACTCAGAACCTGCACTTCTAAGTATTTGGGTTTTTTGTTTTTGTTTTTGTTTTTGTTTTTTTGTCAAATACAGTGCACTTGGATTGACCAATTTATACAGTTGATTCTTTCCTTGGGATAACACATATATTCATGGGAGAAGTGGCTATTTAAAAATGATTTGGGAATTTGATATGTGAGTACACTGTAATTAGATCATTTCCACCCCTTCTTTTCCTCTGTCCACCTCCTTCTACTCCTCCACTTCCTCTTGAGTCATGACCTCTTCTGCTCTAATTACAGTTATTATACACATATTTTGCATATGTACATGTATGCACACAACCTACTGGCTTAATTAGTGTTGCCCACATGTACAAATGTCTAGAGCTAACCATGCTGAATAGGGGGCTCTTCCATGAAGAAAAGTGATGCACCCTCAGCATCTATTGATTCCCTGAAGCCTTGTGAAATTTTGTTCTACCCATGTTGACTGGTATAGTTATTGCAGGTCTTGTGTAGGTGACCATAATGTTGAGATTACATGGATGCAATGTCCTTGTCATGTCCAGAATACAGTAGATCATAAGAGCCACCTAATACTCAGCCTCTAACAATTTTTATGCTCCTTCTTCAATGTAATTTGAGCTTTAAATGTGTGGGTTGTGCTATAGATATCCCTTTTGGGGGCTGGCCACTATGGCCACTTATTCCCTGTCTTTTGACTAGATATAGATCTCTGTAATAGTCTCTGCATTCTGCAAAAAGAAGCATCTTTCATGTGGCGTGTGGGCTGTACCACCTATGGCTATGAGTGTAAGAACTGAGAATGTAGTTAGAGCTTATAGTGGTTTGGGAAAATGACAGGAGTCCTCTAGCGTCTATGACCTCTCCAGCCAGTGGTTCTTGGCTAGGTTTACAATACCATGAATAAGTTCCCTCCCATTTAGCAGGCCTTAGATTTAATTAAACAGCTCTGGTTACCACAGGATAAAAATGTCACTATTGCACATTGGGGTTATCTTTCCAGTCCAGTTGAAATGACTATTTTTGATGCAGGCCCCAGTATATGTGTGTGTGTGTGTGTGTGTGTGTGTGTGTGTGTGTGTGTGTGTGTGGCTACACGTGTTACAAGGAAAGATGGTTACTGTCTTATTTGCATCCAAAGTTGTGACTGGCTTGGTTAACATTCTGTGATAATTTCCTGAAAGAATCCAGATGATCCCTGATACAATTCTAACAGACCATCTTTGACAATTTCTGAAAAACTACAATTAATT